CACAGGTTAAAATGATGGTATATATACTAAAATTCCCAACATGATGCAGTCTACATGAATAGACCACAAGCCACTGAGGTAGCAGACGGTATGGCACTGCCCAGAGTGGTGGGGGGCAGGGGGGGGGGGGGGGAGACTCACCAGCTGAACATAGGTCAGCTTCTTCTCTCGGAACTTCTCTAGAGCGCGGGTGGCATCCTGGTGGACGGGAAAGGCCACGCCCTGCAGCGTCTGCTGTTTGCCCTTCAGGCTGATGTCCATCTGCAATTACACAACACACGGGGGGGGGGGGTCATGGAATAGGAACCAGGCTGAGGTACATAGCTGAGCAGCTCGGGATTGGTGGGGGGGAGGGGCGGCGGACCTTTGAATCTGATTGGCAACTGGCATTAATATTACACGGACAAATGATGAAGCTGCAAGTATTACAACAAAAATGATATCATGACCCATACGGAACCCAGATGATAAAGTCCAACGTGCAGAGATATGGTTCTATAAATACTCTGTCTTCATACACTCCGCCTTACAAGGAAATGGTAAAAGTGCACTTTAGCCAGACATTATGCCTGAAACTCAGTGCTGAGAGACAAGCCCCCAGACCTTCTGACAATGACTCATGTATTTCTTGATTCCTGTTCACTGAGGTATGACACACGCTGTTAGACAGGAGGGCTGTGCAGCACAGGTGGAAAGTTCAGGTCCAGAAAGTACTCTTGAGTACTCGTTGAGTACTATTGAGTACTCTCTGAATGTGACTCTATACTCAACAACATCTTTGACTTTATTTGTACTTTCTAAACCTAAACTTTACACCTCTGCTGTGCAGATAAAATGCCAGTGGATAAGAGGTCTGGTTTGACAGTGACTCCTCTCAGCAAATATTTCAAATCCCGTACATTGTCACACAGCATAAAACTGCATCTCTTATCCTCTCTGTAATTGGGGGGCAACTTCCTATCCCCCCCCCCCCCTTGTTTTGAATGGATAACTTTAAATATGTACAAACACTTCCAGTTTCCTTATAAGGTACTGTATGACTGAACCCATGAAGCTGTTAACTGGAGACTATATTTGCTCTGACACCCAACCAGTTCCTTCCTGCTCTCACACTGCTTTAGATCATTTAAACCCAAGCGGCTTTTTGGGGGAACGGATCGCATTTCTGCCAGCCTGAGGTGCGTGTGTCGTGGTTTTGCAGACGCAGATATGAAATCTCAAGTCGGCTCAGCGTGCTGCAAATGAAGAAGCGCTCGTTTAAGGAACTGGATGTGCAGCTATGACACGTTTCACCCAAACAGAAACATATTACGCTGCATCGCTGCAGTGAATTCAGGCGCAGACTTTCGTACAGGAGAGCCAGTGTGTTGGGGTCATCCTTGCTGTTTGCATATAGATTTTCTGGCTATTCTGAGCTACTTAACACTCCGCTAATCCTTCAGTTACTTTTCAGTGGTCATAAGGTGCCCAGTAATCAGTTTGGAGTCCCACAGTTTTGTCAGGGAAGATTTCCAACTGTTTATAATATATTACAATAATCTCTGGACTCATAACTCAGTATCTACGTCTATTTATTTATTGTACAGACTGCTTCCGTGCCAAACTTTCATATCAAACTTACACCATCTTTTTCCACCAAACAAGTGGTTAACTGTGTATCTTATCAATATTATGTTTACACAGATCAGCCACAACATTAAAACCACCTGCTTAATGTAGTGCAGGTCCCCCACTGACCCATCGATGCACAGACTCCATGAGACCTCTGAAGGTGTCCTGTGGTATCTGGCACCAAGACGTCAGAGGAGATCCACCATGTCCTGTGAACTGAGGTCGGGCCTCTGTGGATGGGACTTGCTTATCTAACACATCTCACAGATGCTCGATCAGATTGAGAACTGGGGAGTTTTGAGTTTAAGCCAACACTTCAAACTCTGTTTCATGTCCCTCAAACCATTCTTGAACAATTATTGCAGTGTGGCAAAAATCCTGTGAATGAGGCCACTGCCATCAGGGAATACTGTTGCCATGAAGGGGTGCATTTGGTCTGCAACAATGTTTAAGTAGGTGGTACATCGCAATGTAACCTCCACATGAGTGCCAGGACCCAAGGATCCCCAGCAGAACATTGCCCAGAACATCACACTGCCTCTGCCGGCTTGCCTTCTTCTCATAGTGCATCCGGGTACCATCTCATAGGCAATCTCATAGTACCATCTCATAGTACCATCTCATAGTACCATCTCTTCCCCCAGCTTCACGACTCACATGCACCTGGCCGTCCACGTGATATAACAGAAAATGTGACTCATCAGACCAGGCCACCTTCTTCCATTGCTCCATGGTCTGGTGCTATTGCTGACATGCCCATTGTGGGCACTTTCGGTGGTGGATGGGGGTCAGCACGGATACTCTGGCCAGTCTGCGGCTGCGCAGCCCCATATGCAGGAAGCTGTGATGTACTGTGTGTTCTGACACCTTTCAATCACAGCCTGCATTAACTTTCTCAGCAATTTGTGATACAGCAGCTCTCCTGTGGCTCCTGACCAGACTAGCCTTCACTTTCCATGTGCATCGGAGAGCCTCGGGCGCCTATGACCCTGTCTCCGGCTCACTGGTTGGTCTTCCTTGAACCACTTTTAGTAGGTACTGACCACTGCATTCCAGCAACACCCCACAAGACCTGCTATTATGGAAATACTCTGAGCCAGTCATCATAACTTGGCTCTTGTCAAAGTAGCTCAGATCCTTCCGCTTGCCCATTTTTCCTGCTTCCGACACATCGACTTTGAGAACTGACTGTTCACTTGCTTAATATATAATGAAACCCTTGAGAGGTACCATTGTATCAAGATAATCAGTGTTATTCACTTCACCTGTTAGTGGTTTTAAGGTTATGGCTGACTGGTCTAATGTGTTTGCATGTTTGCACCTCGACCAATGAGAATGACCTATGTGACACTGAATAAAAGATACGTTGACTTTGATAATGTATGCATGATAAAAATGTTAGTGATGTGTTTGTCTGCGTGTGAGTGTGTGTGTGTGTGCATGTGTGTGTGTGTGTATGTGTGTGTGTGTGTGTGTGTGTGTGTGTGTGTGTGCTACCTCATTAAGCCTGATCTGCTTGAGCATCTCCTCAGCAGCCGTCAGGGGCAAGGGGCCGGCCTGGGAACTCAGGTACTTCCTATAGCCGCTGAGAGACACATCATCCTGGGGGGGAGGAGACAGCCCAGCGAGAGGACGGGTTAGGCCCAAGTCACAAGCCGTTTTAATGATCGCCATGGGAACGACCTCGGGCAGGTCAGACAGCATGGCCCCGCCTACACATACCCTCGCGGTGCCAAAAATCTCATCCTTAATATGGACGCTGCCAAACTCCTTCTTCAGCGTTTCCCGTGTCGCAGCGTATAACATCTTCTGACGCACCTGTTAAAAAAAAAAGAGTTTCTGCATAAAAACTTGACTTGGTATCAGACAGCGTGCAAGCATGCGCTCTAAGCGCCACAAAGCCCGTCCTCAGAGCCCCAGCAGCTTGCCGAGCACGAATGAATCAGCGCGCCAAGTGCAGAAGGGCGCTTCACATAGACGAACACAGTCTGAGCGTCCACTAATGCATTACAGTAGGGGTTCCCAGCCTTTCGAAGACCACAGACCGGTTTGCATTGTGTGAGAATTTCATGGGCCGGAAAAACGGGGACGTCGGCTGCAGACCAATCGGCAGGACAGACTTCATAAGTTTGACTGCTTCTATTTTTTTAAATGCAGTCAGGAGCCATAAAAGAAGGCACAACATGGAAATATATATTCTTAATTCTTGGCAATTCACCAAGCCATCCCAAGCCCCCAGCCAACGTTCTGTGGCCTGGTGGAATACCAGCGGGTTGGGGGGGGGTTGTAAACCGATACACTACAGCATTATTTAATGTTAATGTTAAAGGGTAATGTCGACCTGATTTTTAGATTTTTTAATAGTCTGTGTGAAGCTATTGTACCTATTATTCTGTTCATTTTTTGTAATTGTTCTGTTTGAATGTGGGTGTTTGGGACTGGCCATCCCTGTAATAGTCCTGGTCTTTTTGTTTGTTTATTTTTACATTAACCACAGACTTTGAATCCATTTACATGTTTTTCTTCAGCTGAGGGAGTGCCGTTCAGTTTACTGCACAGCAGGAGTTCCCTAGGCAACGGCCTACCTGCTCTGTGGCTCCGCCCATCCCTCTTAAAAGCCACGCCCACCAGCCCTAGCACACCAGGTAAAGAACTGCGTTGCTAAGTTCCTGTGCTGTTGGACCCACTGCCAAAGCTGGGCCTCCATGCTTAGAAAACACTCCTACATGTCTCATTAGGGTGCTCAGTGCATGACAGGGAATCACCAGCATGTCTAGGCAGATACACTGAATCACCAGAACATTCCGATTTTACTTCATACTATATAGATGCAATAAATTATTAAAACCTGGTCTTAAATCTGTGCAGGAAATCCAGGTGGTCTGCATCGGCTACAGGTTCCCTAAGGAGCCATCAGACATTGCACATGTCACTTACAGATGATTGGTCAGGTGACCAAGCCAGGAGGATCCACTCATAGCCGTGACTGCTGGTGGAATCCAGGCGGTACAAGACATAGGCAGGCATGTCGTCTTGCAGCACAGGCAGCACGAGCGAGTCGTACTCTTGGTCCCACTTTCGTGTTGCATTATGGGTGACGCTCATCACAAGCTGCTCTGGAGGGGAAGTGAAGGATTACCCAGAAGCCTGCAACTTCTGAAGCCGCGTGTTCCTACACGCAAACACCTCCTTGGCATTTACATGAGTGAAAAGCGATCAGCTGAGTTAAAATTTAATAGCATAATTTCTGTGCACTGAGAGAACATTCATTTAGGATTTTACAACAAAGGGAAGCAACTCCAAGCCGTAGAAAAATCAGCATCCACCCCAGTCCATAACGCCTGCAATTGTCCACATCCAATGTAAGTGATCGGATACTGACCATTCTCAATCACTATCTTTAGGAGTCGATAGTTTCCATTCTTCGCTTTTGCAAACAGATTTCTCACTTCCACAGAAGCTGTGAAGACATAGTAGACTTACAACATGTTTCTATAAGGACAACAAACCCCCACTCAACCCTGCACTGTCAGAAAAAAAGGTACTAATTTGTACCTTTGAGGGTATAATTACTTGTCACTGGGGCTGTACCCTCAAGGTTCTGCCAGCTGTACCCTTAGCTGTTGGTAAATGTAACTTTTAAGATACAGAAATGGACTCTGAGGAACATTTTTGTACCATTGTTGATACATTGTTGTTATTTGTACCTTGGGGTACAAACCTTGGGGTACAAATCTGACAGTGCAGAAAGTAGCACCTGAGATGTCAACACAAATGATGAGTAGCTGCCTTTTTGTTCCGTTTTTCCCCATTTTGCTGCAAGACACAGTGGCTCACATTTTGCTGTTACTCCTATGAATACCACAGGAATGTACTGCGTGCAACATTTTTTAAACTAGGGCCAGCTTCCTAAAAAGATTTTCGTTATATTCGTGTGTAGGCTGAGTTAGATGCCCTTTCGACGAAAACACTGTAAATTAAGAAAGTGTTCGGTATTATTTAGTAAGGGCGCCTGATCTTGGGCCAAACTCAGAGAGAGGGGCAGAGAGAGAGATCAACAAACAGCCGTCCATTCTCAATGAACTGGGGCAGCACAGCATGCACCGCATGACCCGATTACAAAGCGATTTTGTCTGAAAATAAACCCGATTCAACTTCGCCTCCTAGGAATCCCAGTTTCCAGGTGCATTATAGAACATAATGTTTAATCAAAGCTGCTTGTCATTTACACAACAACTTTTGTGAAAATAAATAAATAAGCGCACATAAATAAAGCAGCAAGACCCAAACCGTCGTTTCCTCCTCCGAGTTCAGCAATAAGCAACAATGGATGTGAATTACCTCGTATTCCAGTCTGATGGGACATGTCGACCCCGATCCGTCTCTGCCGTCCGCTGTCGGGATGCGCAGGATTAGGAAGAAGAAAAGTGAACTACAGCAAAGTCAGCCCCACTACATGGTGTCGTCATCGGTCCGCAAACCACGTGACCGAGCTGTCACCGGCTTGATGTGGCCCGACCGTGTTCCACATTTTTTAATGATGCTATATAATGGGCAACATTTGTGCTCGGCGTAAGTATGGTGTATAAAAGACACGTGTCTTTTTAAAGGGTGCGCCTCGTAAAGCGTACGATCTAAAATTGTTTTCAGATTTCAGGTTGTCTTGTGCGTTTTCTTGGGCGAGCATTTCTTATGAAACACACTACAAGACGTACAACCACAGGATTAATGACGTACCTCAAAATATTCATATAAAGATCTACTTTAGATAAATAAAAGTTCCTAATAGTCCGAAACAAAAGTGTGCTTTTCTATTGATATTCAGATCTGTGTGTGTGTGTGTGTGTGTGTGTGTGTGTGTGTGTGTGTGTGTGAGCGGGTTTATCTATCCTTATGGGGACACAATGTCCCCATAACGTGATAAATATCAGTCTTTTCTCCCTTATGGGGACCGGTTTCCTGGTCCCCATAAGGGAAAACTCTATTTTATAAAAATCGGTGACTGCTATGAAAAAACTAAAAATGCAAAAACTCTTGTATTTTCTTTGGTTACTTATGGTTATGGTTAGGGCAGGGTAGGGGTTAAGGTTGTCATAGTTAGCGTTAGCATTTTTCCCATTGAAATGAATGAGCGGTCCCCATAAGGATATGTTTACCCTACATGTGTGCGCGTGCGTGAGTGTGTGTGTGTGTGTGTGTGTGTGCGAGAGAGAGACACAGACTGAGAAAGAGAGAGACTGAGAGAGAGAGAGAGAGAGAGAGAGAGAGAGAGAGAGAGAGAGAAGCATGAAGTTTCCCAAATGCTTTTTGCAAACGCTCTTGTGTAATTTCAGATGTGAAGATGGCACGTTGGCCTGGGTCTCACAGTTACCGCATAAATGCGGCTTGTCATGCGGAGTGCAGTGTGAACATCTCCGCCGTGAAAAAATTACAGTCAATAGGTAATGTGCACAATCTACCTGTTGCCTTCACAGTGCAGGACACATCAATACGTCGAACAGGTTTTCCTCTCAAAAGAGTCCATAATGAATCCATCGCGTGGCACGCTGCTGAAAAAGAGTATCGCACAGAGACGCAGCATCGGGCAATGACGCAATAGTCTTGCGTAATGTGCATTGCGGGAGATTCTGCATGCATCGGATTATTGAGGGATACTGCAGGATCGACCCACTTACCTGGGAGCCTTCCCGGGGGCTGCAGCTGGCTTGACTCTCACTGACAGCCCAGGATGACAGTTTGACGACATAATTCTCATCCTTACCAGTAGATGGTGGCGGCGATCTAGCCGCATGGAAGGAAGTAGCATGTGGGTAAACAAAGCAAACAGCAGGCTGTGTCAATAGCAGCATGTGTCGGTTCCTGGTGAGACACACTTCTGCCGTTTGCAGTGGGCTAGTCTACGGATTTCTTGAGCAAGAATGCTAACTGATACCCTCTGTGCATAAAGCATAGCCACAAGGACCTGTCCGTCCCTTCATCCTTGTGATCCGCCTCTAGAGTTTCATATCTTTCCTGTGGGAATTAATTTGGGCCAGTGCTAAAGGCAAAGGGGTCGTGGTTCGAATTATGGGGCAGCTTGCCTTATCTTATCTTATCTTATTTAATCTTATCTTAATATAAAATTATCAACATGTCTATAAAACGTCCCGTCCACCGTCCGTTTATCCAGTATAAATAATTGCTTATCTAAAGCAGAGCCACAGAGACGAAACTGGGCATGAGATGATGAACACCCTGAATGGAATTACAGTCCAGTTACTGAAGCCATAGGCCTTTAGACAAGTATTTATACTAAATGCATTTTTTCATTCATAACGATGTTTCTAAGTGTGACACGGTGTTCCCTTTGAAAAGCTTGGCGTCGATGTCAAATTTTGTTAGAAAACTTCAGTGTTCAGTGTTTCTTTTTTTTTTTAAGAAAAGCCTATTGTTGTTTGTAGCAAAATATATTCTAGTGATCACATTTTACAGAAATGGTCAGGCGTGTAATTTGGGCCGTCACACTACCTCAGTCGGTACATACGTAATATTTCAGTGGCAACCACCAGATGGCACCGTCTTCCAACATTTAATCGCTAGTGCTCGCTTTCTAAGTTTTATCACTAGGCTAGACAGAATTGTCTTGATCGAAGATAATAATTACGAGTCAAACTTTTCTTTTGTCTTAAAAAAATTAAGTTATTAAGTTTTATGCCCTCATTCATTGTAATGCAGTTTGTCTCCATTACCACTGCAATCATGCAAATCAACTTTAAAATTTTGTTTGTGGCTGTTGTGACTAATAATTAAAAATGCTGATTACAGTATTAGAGATCACAATTCAATAGTAGGACTATGCTAGTGACTGAGGCAGACTTTTGGGGCATGCTGCGCTTTTCAACAGCACCTAAAAACAAACACATAAACAAACAAGCCCACTGTCCATTCAGCACCACACTCAGCAGGACCATGGACAGTAGGTTGGTCAGGGTCCCTCCTTCTGCAAAAAGGACTGAGCAAGAAACCAAGTATAAGGAACAGAGCCACATGTGGGGGTGGGAGTGGATCTGGTACAGCAGAAGAACCAGTAACGAAGAACTGGAAGCAGAGCAGAGGGATGCAGGCCTGAATGAACGACAGGTGGCGAGAATTACAGGTGAGGATGCTGTCCCACGTCCATCTCTTCTGCATCTGACTGCAATGAATAGCGTGGGTGGGACTCTTATTTTGGCATTCCGACAGACATGTGTGCTGATAGCGTTAGCCTTCCTGCACCCTTATGCAAGAGTGATAACATTGCTTTTATATGTAAAGAACAACACAGGCAGGAGTCAGGTCACACAGAATGGCAATCTCGGAGCATTCAGGACCTCCTGATGGGAAAATAAATTGACCAATCGCGGCTCGCCATGGGTCCCGCATCAACAGAGGGAGCAGGCTTGTCGGAAAATTCACGGGGGCCGTAATTCATGCCAAAATGGGGATGGGGGCTGACGCGCAACCTGCACACCTATCAAACCAGGCCTTGTCCGGCGCATCAAAGGAGACAGGGGCACTGAAAGGAGGGAGGAGAAGACAGCCCCAGCCGTGAGCTTGGGGGCGGGGAGACGGAGCTGGGATGCTGCTGGAGATGAAGGTCACTGAAGGAGAGGAAACCAGACCATTAAATACAGTAAATCAGGCTATTTCTATTAGCATAGTGTCCAGGCTGTATGCTAGCCTGTGCCCTGTGCTGCCTGAGACAGACTGCAGGACAGGACCATTATTATTATTATTATTATTATTATTATTATTATTATTATTATCCATCCATCCATCCATTGTCCAACCCGCTTATCCTACTGGCTCGCCGGATTATTATTATTATTATTATGCCACTTCCATCATCCTTTTCTTTTAGTATTTTCTTCTGGCCTCCTCTCTGAGTGAGGGACCTTTCTGCAAAAATACCTTCCTTGACTGCTACATATTGGCTTTTGGCTGAAGAAACAACCGATTTCTTGGTTCAGGCCGCCATTTGCGCCCCACATCCCCCCCCACCCCCCGTCCGCCCGCCCGCTGGGGCTTCCCCCCACATCTGGAGGGTGTGGGTGAAAAAAAATGGCACTTTTAGGTCACGTCTTGCAGCTGGCCTCCCAGAGGCTGGGCCTGATTGCTTAGTGTAATTACAGCTGGTGAGAGGGCCGAGGGGCTCTGGGTCGCTGCTGGATTCTGGGCCACTGCGCGTGTACGACTGGGCCGTGCCAGTTTTATGTCGCATGTGCTCATTCTTCGCTGTATTGCAGAGCCAGTACCTCCCTCCATCCCTCCACTATCAGGAAAAGGAGGGAGAACAAAATAGGAAGCACTGGGTAACATGTGCTAGTCGCCTGGAGGTGGGACAGGCCCGGGGCTCCTAACTCCACCCCTTATCCACAAGGGAGAAGCAAGTCTTTAATTACAGCCACCGCCACACCTGCCTGTAGCCCTCGCCTAGAACTCGGATAACTTCCTGCGACGAACATCCAGATTTCAGTGAAAAATGAGCGAGGAGTAAGATTACATTTCTTAAGAATGGATGCGTGCACTCACTGGCTGTCTCACAAGTAGGCCAGGAGGAGATCTTGATGACGGAGCAGCTGCTCTTATCGAGGAGAGGCTGGGGGTTGTGGGGGGGGGGGGGGGGGGGGTGGGGGGGGGGGGGGGGGGGGGGGGGGGGGGGGGGGGGGGGCACGCATGGTGACATGAAGAATGGACGAACCCTCCCCCCAACACTTAGCTATCCCTCTGGGAATTGCTCAGTGGGACCCATTGGACATGTTCTTGAGGAACACGCCATTAGCAGGTGGGGGGGGGGGGGGGGTTGATGCAGTAAAGATTTAGGATTTCAGCCTTGCGTGACAGGGAGAGGAATCCTACCTCAAATCACGACGACAGGGCCAGATCACATGTGGAGGCGAGGGTGACCGCTTCTGCCCCCCCCCCCACGTGAGAGGGCACCTGTCCGAATCCCCAGACACGCCACCGAAGAATGACTCCCACGTGCAAGGCGTCACCCGAGCCAATCGTCTGAATACATCTCGGAGCATCGGGCCAAGAATTAAGCATTAACAAATGAGCGTGGGGCACACAGGAATGGAGGCATTCTGCAGAGTGAATTTTGATTTTTTTTATTGATAAGCGCTGATAAGTGGCCGCTCTTTCACATGCATATATGGAGCCATGGAGATATTGTGCCGAAAATGCATTAGCAGCATGAAGACTGTGGTGGAGGTGGGGTGGGTCAAATAAGCACTACCACTCAAATCAAGCAGAGAAGTCAGTCATTAAACTTTTATCTTCTATGAATAAGTCAGAATATGCTGCCTTTAATCATGGATGGAGAAAAGTCCCCAGTCTCCTGCTGGATGGTCTGTGGCGTGCAAAACCACATGACTCAAAACAGCGTTCCATTAATTATCTATCGCATTGGGGAGGGGGGGGGGTTGTCGTCGTCTACGGTTCTACGGTAAGAACAATCGCACGGCTTTACCGGCCCCACCGTTTGAT